CAACTGGCGACCTGTTTGATCAGAGTCGAATGCCACAACCCACGAGCTCGTTGTCTTGCCGGGGTAGGTCGGGAGATATTGGCATTTGTTGATGGACGTTCACCCGACCGCTAACGGAACTCATCTGTTCCGCTCCGCCTGGGGTCTTGGGTGTCAATATCCCTCGACCTAACCCGGCAAGGCAACGAGCTCGTGGCTCGGTGGTTAGGACGTTTGACTCTGATCAAAGACGTTGCGAGTTCGAGGTTCGGGTGCGTCGTCACATGAGTCTGACAATGACTGGCGGACGACGGCTAATAAGCCAGAAATGGCCATTTCAGTCTTCCTTGTCTTTGCAGGTTTAACTATCTGTCTAAACTACCAGCTGCTACAGCTTTCAGGGCCTCTGTCGAGACCCCAGGCAGAGCGGGACAGATGAGTTCCATTGTTCGAAACGTTTTTTATATTTTTCTTATGCCAGTGGTTTTTCTCAGTCTCTTCGACTTTCCGTAGACTCTTCCCCTTTTGCTTTTTCTTCATTTTTGAGAATAAAAAGTCAAAGTAAACTATATGGGTTGAGTAAGGAAACTGAAAACCGTGTCATGCTGTTTTTCTTGAAAAGAACCGGTTGATATAAAACGCTGTGTGGGAAGGCGGGTTGTTGTGACAAAGCGGCCGCTCGCCAGATTGCTCCAATTCAGGTCCTTTTTGTTCTTAGACTCTCACACAATCGCCTCAGCATTTGTAGGTGTTAATGTTACTTCACATATTGCCATGAAAAACAGATTCAGCATGAAAAACACCTTCGGTGTCAAAAAAACAAACCAGCATGAACTTCGAATTTTGATTCCTAGACGTTGAAAAGCGACCCAACTGGGATTAACCTTCAAGTGACATTTAATCATTTCTGAACCGGGCAAACCGCACTTGCGCAACGGGGCCTAGGTTGGGTGAAAAGTGGAATCAGAAACCGTTTTCATACTGTTTTTTGCCAAAACTGTCTGATTTTTGACGCAGTGTGGGCTGGCATGCTTGCATGGTGAAGTAACCAGTTCTCCGAACGCCATAATTTTGGTCATTTTTCTCACCGCCTCGCACAATCGCTCCAGTTCTTGCAGTTAGTAATGCTGTTTCACTGTGGTGCTATGAGGAACAAATTAAACGTGGGAGATCTCCTTGATTTAACTTGCTGCCTATTTCTTGTCTGGACGATGAATTTGTCTTCCAGTGTCTGAACTGCTGTTTTTTCCGGATCATAACCATAACCCCGAGATTTATTGCGTACAATGTCTTATGACAAATTAGTATGGCAGGTTTGTGTCTCTTTGATCAATTCCTGGCACACACTCAGACGGTTCTTCCCGTGGACATTGAAAAGCAGTCGTGCAAACCAACTTTGACATAACACGTCTCATGTTCAAATCTTCTGTTTGAAATCAAACCCATGAACTTTCATTTATATTCTCCCATTTGTTGCCCGTTCCACGATGCTCAAGCACGACGGCGTCGCGCACTTTTTGGACAGTTTATGGACGTTAAGAGGTGATCAAAAAGGGATTCTTTTCTAAGTGGCATTGGACCGCTAGTGAAGCGAGCAAACTGCTTTTTAATTCTAGCTTGGTTGGGAGCTTTCCGCATTGGCACAGTTTCTACCGCCGTTTTATTTAACAGGATATCTAGTTTTATGTTTGTGCATTGTTCCTTAACGTTCGTCATCGCCAAAATGCCGAAACCCTTGGGAGGCGGTTTAATAAAACAATCACTCTGTCTAATGCGATGGTTTCTCATGAATACTGCTCGGCCAACTGAGCTGAAATAATGTCTATTGAACGTGCCTTGCGGAAGGGAGTAGCAGTACCAACTTGCATGCCTAAAAATAATACTTGTTTTTTGCCACTCTTCAATTATAGCCTGACTTGGAGCTTCCTCCCCGTAAGCTTTCCGAAACGTCGACACAGTTTCTACCGCTGTTTTATTTAACAGGCAGATAGGCGTACGCCGATCAGGTAGAGGAAATAACCGTTAATCTATGTTGCCTTTGGAGCTCACACTCGAGCCTACGCCGCAAGGTGGCTTATGATATAGGCAGAAGGGCATTACTGACAATGACAAGGGAGACTAGGATGGCCATTTCTGGCTTATTAGCCGTCGTCA